CTACGGCATGCACGACTATGAGTACCCCCCCCCCCCCGGAGAGGTCGGAAAACCAGTTTTGTTGGATAGGTGTCGGAATTTGTTTTTGTGCGCCCTTGGTAGGCGAGCGTGTTGCAGTGCTCCGTCAGATATTTCTGCACGTACGCGCGAGTTGTCCATGAGAAGAGTCCTCTCCCGCGGGAGCTGGCTCCTCCCGCTCATTAGGCTCGGGCGGTAGTACTTTCTGGTCCACTCTGCATGCTTGAAGACGCCCCCGTGTTCCAGCCCCCATGCCAACTCGATAGCCTCCCATCAGTGTCCTTTGCTAAGCGTGTTGCCCGCAAGACATGTTGCTTGATCGCCTCGTAATGTCGATCAAGAATGAAGCCTCTTCCTTTCAACTTTGAAAGTTGATCGAGCTCCTGCAATGTCTCAAGGGGTTAAGACATGGTGCCCATGCATGCACTTCCATGCACGCACGCAGCGTACACACAGCGTGCCATGCACCCAGCACCACGACACCACGAGCACCAGAGGGAGGAAACGCCACGTAAAATGCACGCGTGCAAGAATACTTGTCGGGGTCCCCGCCCCCCCCCGCTCCGAATGCATCCGAAACTAACTGCTGTTGGGGTCACCCACCCTCACCTTTCCTGGGTTCTTAACTTGCAGCCGCCCGTATTTGGGGGCTCCGTTCTTATCTGCATGTTCATTGTTACACTACAAGGTGGGTTCTAGTTCATATCCCTCGTCGGAAATGAGCACATGTTCTTATGACCCATGTTCTTACATTTGGGAATATTTGAAGCTCAATTTCTTAACTGCTAGGTTATTTAGTGGTGGCGCGTTCTGTACCAGTTTCCCACCAATCACACGCCGGCTTTGTAAGACATTTTGTAAGACAGAGACAGATGATTGGGCGGATGGCACGACGCCCGGGGAGAATCCCCGAAATCCTCTTGAAAAACAGACGCCGCTCGGCAGCAGCACACTTGGACAACATACGGGACAACCAGCACAGCTGTAGGCCAAGGGCGGCCAAAGGCACACATCATAGGGGGCGTTGGGTGTGACTGTTAGAGCCCCTTGCCTGCTGTCGGCAGCACAAGCCAGGGACGATGCAAGTTAACCTGCGGTCTGTCTTCATCACCTGCCGATCGTTGGAGCTCCCCACACAGAGGCATCCCCCCAACAGAGACAACGAGATGTGCACCATGCTGTAGGCCAAGGGCAGCCAAAGGTACACACATGGCAGGCATCGGAAACGATTTTAGAGCCCGAGGCCTGCTACCAGCAGCGTAACCGAGGGAATATGCGACGGCACACAAGTCAACTCTATCTGTGGTCTGTCTTCGTCTGCAGGCCAATCTTTGCTTGCACAACAGACGCACCCCTGAAATAGTGACAAGTGAGACTTACACTGCTGGCCAACGAAGGCCAAATACACACATCGTAGGAGGCCGGGAGCGATTTTTGTAGCCCGTTGCTCGCTGCTACCAGCGTAAGCGAGGAAAGCAAGTGCACAGCAACGCACAGCAGCAGCAGCTGCTGCTGCTGCAGGTACATGTAGTAGCTGATGATGAGAGCTCGTCCACACCAAACAGCGCTCTCATTCATCCCCGGGCTGCTAGACATCTCATTCATCAGACATCTGACTGAGTGGTGGTTTCGGGTGAGGTGTGACTGAGAGGGTATCCAGTGGTGGCCACTGTGATGGCCTAGGCTCCATCCATAACTACCCGCCACTTCTTTTTCGCGCTAGGCGCAAATGGAACAAAGAAGCCGAGGCGATGGACTTGGTACATCAGTACGATGCTGATACCCGTGCAGAAACAATTCACACGGTACAGGGGGTGGCCTTAGCCGTCCGTAGTGACGCTTGCTATATACTGAGGTAGTGGTACACACCGAGCAACGCGCCTACGCATTTTGCTCCTTTTGTTTAGCTCCCTTCGTTTCGCTCTCGATATGTGTTATGGAAATGTTAGCACATAGCCAGTAGAGTCAATGTTCACGGTGCCCCTATCTCCGCCGCGGTGGTTCGACGGGCTCCGCTGAGTACGAGTCTTTCCCGTAAAAATCCTCCCCCCCCGCCCCCCCAGGTGTTTGCCATCGGGGTTGGGTTTTCGTCGCTTGGCAACGACGTTGTAAAACAAGCCAATCCACTGCGTGAACTCGGCAACCAGGTTACCGTTTTTTTTTTTTTCCTCTGTTTTTTTTTTTGGCGATAACCATAATGGTGATCGAATAGATCATGTTGTGCGGGGTCGAGAACCCTCACTCCGCNGTCATCCGTATGCAAGAAAGTAAGCACAAGATGCCGAACACCCTAAGCAGGATGCAGCGCACCCTTCATGCGACTCGCCGAATATCTCACGGCGCTTCGCGCTTGGTGATGTGAGAGCCTGGTCCGGTGAGAACCCGGCGTGCTCCGTCCCGGCTTTGTAGGGATGCGGGTCATTGGTTTAACGACTACGGCATGCACGACGACGAGTACACCCCCACCCCTCCAAGCAGCGAAAGTTATCCTAGGAAGCTCCAAGCGCGCAAATAATGCAGCCGTCAGGGCAGAACTGGGGATCCAATCCATACGATCGGGAAAAGACGCAAGGAAGCTGACATGCAGTACCGTATTTGCGGCATGGGCGAGGAGAAGTTGCCGAGAATAGTCTGGGAGGCGACGTGGTCAAATAAAAAGGGGGGTAGACAACCCACGGAGTGGGTCAAGGTTGTAGAGGACGTATGGTTCGTTATTTTTTTCTCTATGCGTCGTCCTGTTTTTTCTTGATTTAACGCTGACCTCAGCGTATCTGTAGTGTGTCAAGTGCATGTTAGATTCGCCTTTGCGCGCTGTACGGCTTCTTCATGACGATGAAAATGAAATTGCTCGTTTTTAACGCTATCCACTTTGGCTTGCTTCGTGTGATGCGTGTGTCTCATGTACGCAATCCAGGAAACAGACCATTTTGTTTCTTCGTCACCTCCCACCGTTTGTAGCCATATTCCGGTGATTCCCCAAGGAGCATGCCGCCGTGTCGAAGAGGCGGCTGTGTTCCCTCCTGGCGAGGGTCAGGGGCGCCGTAGCATGGCGAGGGAGGGGGTAGGATGCTTGGCGGGCCGCGGTGCTGGACGTTAAGAGATGTGCTTCCCAAGGTGGGGTCCACAGTGCGATTGTCAATGGCAAAGGAAGGCTCGTGATGAGGGGTCTTTGGGAAGGTGGTGGTGGGATTCGATTCCTTCTTGAAGCTTACCGCATTCTAGTGTTGCTCGTTGATTTATTGAGGACCGATCAGGCGGCGCAAATGACAGCCCTGTTTGACATCTCCGCGCTCGCCGCGCACACGAGGTAGGTTAAGGGCGGTGATATGTATATTTTTTATTCGAGGTGGTCTCGTCTCTGTGTCCGTTTATTGACATGGTCGATGACACTTTTGTTGCTGCCGCTGCCGCTGATGTTGTTGCTACTCCTCTGCTTCTGGTGGTGATGGTTTGTTCAGGAGCGGAGCGTCCAGCCTGGATTTCAGGAGCTCGGCAGTACACGGACCGGAGCAGGATTCCGCCGTCACCGACGCCGCCAGTGCTGCTGATAGCGGCAGCGCCGGCGAAGGAAACCGGGGCGATAGCAGCGTAGTGCAGGTGAGGCTGTTTGGGTTGGGAAGCGCGGTTATGGTGGGCGTCAGGAAGGGCGAGACGGGCGTGGCCAGGGACAGGGTCGCCGCGGCCGCCCCGCTGGCGCTCGCGGAGACGGAAGGGGGGCGGGTGGGCGGGTGGGGGCGGGTGCTCGCGTTCAAGGAGGAGCGGGACGGCCGAGAGGGGCGGTGGTTCCCTTGGTTCAGCCGCCGCCGCCGCCGGCCCCCGTTTCTTCCCGAGGACGGCAACGGACGCCGACCCCAATCGTTGATGTTTGGACTAGATGCTCTACGGTTGTGTTTTTTCAGGACTAGTCTACGCGGTGGATGAATTACTCGAGTCAGACGTACAGCAAACGCCATTTGAGCGTCTAGATGCCGATATGCATCTCAGGAATTGCATGTTGTTGTGCTTATCCAGCTCTTCGGAGTAGTTTTGGAGCATGCCACGGGGGGCAGGAGGGGGGGTGTACTCATAGTCGTGCATGCCGTAGTCGTTAGACCATTGACCTCGCATCCCTACAAAGCCGGGACGGAGCACGCCGGGTTCTCACCGGACCAGGCTCTCACATCACCAAGCGCGAAGCGCCGTGAGATATTCGGCGAGTCGCATGAAGGGTGCGCTGCATCCTGCTAAGGGTGTTCGGCATCTTGTGCTTACTTCCTTGCGTACGGATGACAGCTGCGTATGAATTAATTTATTTTCTGGTGCTTTCACTTCCAGAGACAGTTGTAAGCACTGTGTAACTGCCTCGAGGGTGCTTGACCATTTTAACACAACGTGGTGCGATCATCCCCCTTGCGCGGAGTGAGGGTTCACCCCGCACAACATGATCTACTCAACCATCATTATGGTTACCGCCCAAAAAAAATAAACGGAGGAAAAAAAAAAAAACGGTAACCTGGTTGCCAAGTTCTCGAAGTGAATTGGCTTGTTTTACAACATCGTTGCCAAGCGACGAAACCCAGTCCCGATGGCAAACACCGGGGGGGGCGGCTTGTTTTACAACGTCGTTGCCAAGCGACGAAAACCCAACCCCGATGGCAAACACCGGGGGGGGCGGCTTGTTTTACAACGTCGTTGCCAAGCGACGAAAACCCAACCCCGATGGCAAACACCAGGGGGCAGGAGGGGGGGGGTGTACTCATAGTCGTGCATGCCGTAGTCGTTAGACCATTGACCTCGCATCCCTACAAAGCCGGGACGGAGCACGCCGGGTTCTCACCGGACCAGGCTCTCACATCACCAAGCGCGAAGCGCCGTGAGATATTCGGCGAGTCGCATGAAGGGTGCGCTGCATCCTGCTAAGGGTGTTCGGCATCTTGTGCTTACTTCCTTGCGTACGGATGACAGCTGCGTATGACTTAATTTATTTTCTGGTGCTTTCACTTCCAGAGACAGTTGTAAGCACTGTGTAACTGCCTCGAGGATGCTTTAACATTTCAACACAACTTGATGCGATCATCCCCCTTGCGCGGAGTGAGGGTTCTCCACCCCGCACGACATGATCTGTTCGACCACTATTCATTATGGTTACCGCCAGTTCTACAGGATACATACTGATAGACAACTACGCGGCTCGGAGCAAGCAAGATATCGCAGCAGATGGAGCGCTAGCGGCGTCTCTCGGCTGGGCGAACTCTCTCCCAAAAAGAGCGCGGATGACGGACGCACCGGAGGTGCAATGATCCGGGTCGACCCTCTCCCTCCCCCAGACGATATGCGATCCAGCTCCAGGCGCCCAACTTGTCCTACCACTAGCCTCCCCCGCGAGCCTTCGTCGATAGCCGCCACCAACCTATGACCGTTGCCGAGGGTGAATGTGCCGCTTCTCCTTCCAGATGACCCGCGGGGACGGCGTCGGGGATGGAGCGCCAGCCCTCGCTCCTGGCAGGGGGGGGGG